GGATTTAAATGGATTTATCTTGTTTCTTTTGAGATAAAAATAGACATGGGTATTAAATATGGCCTTCAGTTTCCAACATGCTAGGATCCTACCTACTCCATCCAGCCTTATCTTTTACTATCTGTCTTATACACCTTCCCTTCTTCCAGTTTCTTGAATAGGTGTTGCTTTCTCCTACTACAGGGATTTTATACATGTTATTTTATCTTCTGGAATATACCTCATTTTCTTCTGCTTCCTATTCTCATCTGGATAAATGGACTCTAAAGTTCTTGTTGTAGATTTTTTTAATAACTACATATCCAAGATTTTAGTTAATTAATTACCTAATGGAGACATTAGTAAGATATTGTAACTAGTTCAAAAGAGATTTCAAAGAACACACCAAACACACATGTATATATACACACCTATGTGCTGTATGTACTGGTTGTCTCAGTCTTGTCCAACTCATTGAGACCCTATGAACTGTAGTCGAGGCTACAGTTCCCTGGTAGTTCAGCTGATAAAGAATCCAAGTGCAATTCAGGACAGCCCGGTTTGATTCCTGAGTCGGGAAGTTCCCTTGGAGAAGGAATAGGCTACCCACTCTAGTATTCTTGGGCTTCCCCTGGTGGCTCAGATGGTAAAGAATCCACCAGCAATGTGGGAGACCTGGGTTTGATCCCTGGGTTGGGAAGATCCCCTAGAGGAGGGCATGGCACCCCACTCCAGCATTCTTGCCTGGAGAATCCCCATGGACAGAGGAGCCTGGCGGGCTGCAGTCCATGGGTGGCAAAGAGTAAGACATGACCGAGTACTTAGCACAGCAAAACATAGTGGGCTGTAACCCAGACATGGAGCATGCCTCTCTTAAGTCTCTTGCACTGTAGGCGGTTTCTTTACCACTAGCGCCACCTGGGAAACCCATGCATACCTCTACGTGTGTTTGCGTGTGTGTTGTGTTGTGTTGTGAGTGTTGTGTGTTTGGGTGTGTTCACATGCCTATTTATGGAGAGATGCAGGCAATGAAGAATGCTGAGATGAGTATATAAAATTAGGTAAAGGTGATCAGTATCCACAGGGCAACAAACAGTTGTATTCTACTGGATGAAATATGTTTGTATTTCTATGGACAAGAACCATTTGCATTATAATATGTGTTCTACAACTTATTAAACTATGAAATGGCTCAAATATAATGAAAAGTTTAGATAATCTAGAGTGGTGCTCTGGTCATGACTTCCAGCGATCTTTTTATGCCTCTTTCCAAGTCTCACCATTTTCCTCAATCATCTCCTCTATCATGATCATAAAATCTCAAAGCTTACTTCTCTCAGTAATAAGATTAAGATATTGAGATTACTGAAGTCATAAAGTAAATTCCCTTTGAAAGTTTCCATAAGGGATCTCAGATCAGATTTTTAAAAGCCTGTATAATTTACTCTCCCAAGGCAGTAATAGTAATACTAAGCCTAAGAAACTCCACCAGATTTCTCTAGCCATACATGTAAATTTGGATGAATGCTTCCTTTGCTATGTCACCAAATTTACTAATTTTCATGTCCTACATGACTTTCTTAATTCCTGTAAGGCTGCAACCTGATAAGCTGGGTACCAGGACAATTTTCCTAATGTTTTATTTGACATTGACTACAGACATAAATGATTTTTTTTTTCTTAAAAAGTGCCTATCCTACTTGATTCAATCAACATAATTAAAGTCCCTGGGACTGCAAGGAGATCCAACCAGTCCACTCTAAATGAAATCAGTCCTGAATATTCATTGGAATGACTGATGCTGAAGCTGAAACTCCAGTACTTTGGCCACCTCATGCAAAGAGCTGACTCATTTGAAAATACCCTGATGCTGGGAAAGATTGAAGGTGGGAGGAGAAGGAGATGACAGAGGATGAGATGGTTGGATGGCATCACCGACTCAGCAGACATGAGTTTCAGTAAGCTCTGGGAGTTGGTGATGGACAGGGAAGCCTGGCATGCTGCAGTCCATCACCAGAGTCGGACATGACTAAGCAACTGAACTGAACTGAATTGTCAAATACAATACTCCAGATAAGGTCTTGGTTATGCAATTGATTTCCCAAATTGTGTCATGATAAATGGAAGACAGATTCTTATTGACCCCCAATAAATAACTATTTGCCAAAGTAATAAAAAATAAGAAGATTTAGTAAGAGATTCTAGGAATCAGAATCATACATGACTTTTAAATATTTTATTGTAATTTTTAAAAACATAATTATGCATTCAGATTAAGTAGAAAGAGAAAATAGGGCTTTTTAAATCCAGATAAATATGACAATGAAACAATATCAACCACATTCAGACAAATAATCATAATAAAATGTCCCTCATCAGCTCATTCAGTCCTATCTAATTGAATCTTCACTTATTGGATCTTTGGTTAGGAGTCTGTTTTCATAAAACCCTTTGCTTTTAGACTAAAATGAGTTCTGAAAGTCTGTCTCAGTCCACTGGTACAGTATGAAAGTTTTATAGCTGATGTGAGTTCAGAAGCCTGTATCTGAGAGTTTAAAGTATCAAAAGTTCAAAGTACTTGGTACAGTAATTTCCCACAGGCTTTGAGACTGTTCTTGCTTGAAGATTATATCAAAGCCTTCAGTGAAGTGAGTGAAGTCGCTCAGTCGTGTCTGACTCTTTGTGACCCGTGGACTGTAGCCCACCAGGCTCCTCCGTCCATGGGATTCTCCAGGCAAGAACACTGGGGTGGGTTGCCATTTCGTTCTCCAGGGATCTTCCCAACCCAGGAATTGAACCTGGGTCTCCCACATTACAGGCAGATGCTTTAACCTCTGAGACGCCAGGGAAGCCCCAAAAGCCCTCAGGTAAACTACATTAAAGTTTAGGTAAGCTCTAAATTAAAATACAATCTCATTTTAGATGACAGATTTAATGGCTGTGATTTATTTAATAATATAATCCAAAATATCAATATGGAAAAGATCACATTTCTCTTTCAAGATAGAGAATAATTTAGAAGAATTTTGATGAGTGTTTCTGCAGGTAAAGCATAGTATAGTCAGCAATAGCATTGATACATCTCCAGGGAATTCCTATGGTGGCATACAAATTCTGAAATATGTAGATTAATTTATCTACGCATATTTAACATAGGAAGATCTTGTTTCTCTTGATTGGACAAATTTTCTCATATAACAATTTACAATAGTAGCATAGTAAAGAAATCTAATTCTATCTAGCATTTCTCTGGGAAGTTTCAAAGTTAGTTTTAGATATTAAAGTTATTCTGAGACTTTCATTTTATTCGTTTTACATATTTAAAATTTGATACTGAGAAGACAAACTCAAAATATTTATCAGAAAAAAGAATTTGACACTTATTAAGAAAGGATCATCCATGCCTAAAGATGCTTATTTAATCACAGTGAGAAGAAAGCATTTAACAATACACATGGAAGGTAATGTAATTATAAAGAACCCTAGGTCTTTCATATGTAAGAAAAATTTTTTTTCCTTTTTCTTTAATATCAAGGCATAATTAATTCAACATAAAACATAAATTAATAGAAAAGTGTTTTGGTAAAACATGAAATCTCTTCTGAGGAAATCAGATGAAGCAGGTAAAAAAATAACATTTCACAAAGTAGTCAAATGCATTCATTAGTCAGTAAACCTAGAAAGTAATTCTAATAAGATTAAGTGAAATTTGACAGACTTTTATTTAACACCTTTCCTCACTTTACAGACTTAGGTATTATATTCCACTGCAAATAAAATTTGCTTTGCAAGCTTTCTCTTTCATTAGTCTTTTTCACAGTGTAAAACTAACTGACATTTTATTTGAGGACAGTGGTTCTCACTTGGATCTGAGAGTTCTAAAGTATTTTCAAAACAGTATCAAGATGTTTTATGTTAGACAATGTGTTAATCATTGTTATCATGATTCAATAAATACAAATGTTAATTTTCCATTTTAATATCCAATTAGTTAAATATTGAAAATTATAATTCCCACAAACAAAAGCTCTTTGGGATCCTTAGAGAATTTTAAGAATTTTGCTCCAGAGACCAAAAAGATTGACAACTGCTGCTTTAGGCCAAAACACTTCTTTTTTCTTGAAAAACAAAAGCACTCATACATACACAGTTTAATGTCTTGGTTTTTATTGCTCTTAGTACAACTTCAACTGATTAAATTAATTATGGGTATAGCAAGTGACGAAAAAAAAAAAAAATTAATTAATTATGGGTATAGGTATTTAACCATAAAACCATCACAATAAGATAACGGAGACTTCTATCATCCCTCAAAGTTTCCTTGTGGCCTTTTGTAATCCATCCTGCCCTCCATTCCCATTCCCAGATGGGGGATAGCTACTGATCTGCTTTCTGTCACTGTCGATTTGTTTGTATTTTCTAGAATTTTATCTGGAAACGAACCATACAATATGTATTTTTTCTAGATTACAGCATAATGATTTTAAGATTTATTCATGTTATTCTATGTATCAATACTTTGTTCTTTTTGTAGCACTATTATATTATCTGGATATACCACAATGCATTTGGGCTTCGCAGGTGGCTCAAGTGGTACACAATCTGCCTAGCAATGCAGGAGACGCAGGGGATATGGATTCCATCCCTGGGTCAGGAAGATCTCCTGGAGGAGGAAATGGCAACCTACTCCAGTATTCTTGTCTGAAAAGTCCCATGGACAGAGAAGCCAGTTGGGCTATAGCCCATAGGGTTGAAAGAGTTGGACATATAATTTGTTTAGCCCCATGTGTTATTTCTAGTTTTATAAGTCAAGTTGTTATAAATGTTAGTATACAGAAAAATTATTACCTTTAACCACAGTAAGTAATTGCTATTTCACAATCAGGGCACAGATACATGAAAACGCCTGGCAAATGAGAGGATTTTAGCAGAGGAGCAGAACCCATGAGCACAGGCATCATACCTTTCAGCTACACACATTCAGTTCTCACCTTCTAAATATGTCAAATATGAGCACTTACATTATCCTGCTGTAATCTCTCTGTAAAACATAGAATATAAACTTAAAATTATGCTCAGTGAACAATGTTTCAGTATTCTATCTTACTCAGAAAATATTTAGCTATTTCGATTATTTAGTTGAAAGAATAGACTCAGGAAATTCACTTAAATGGGTGTGTATTTGCAATTCACTAAAAGTGAATCAATGAATAAGCTTCTCTGTTATCTTTATTATGTTCAAGTACCATGCAGAGTCAGAAAACCTGATGCAACTCCAAGACCAATGTCATTGATTATAGCTTTTTTCTGAGTTTAGGTGCTGAAGGAAAAACTCCTTGGGACAGAGGAAATGATGATTGCGTTTTCCAATCTATAAAACAATTGTTGTGATTATTAAATGAGTTAGCTTGGTAAAATTGCTTAGAACTGTATTTGACCCATGAAAGTGAAAGTGAAAGTGTTAGTCAGTGGTGTTGGACTCTTTGTGACCCCAGTGACTGTAGTCTACCAGGCTCCTCTCACCGTGGATTCTCCAGGCAAGAATACTGGAGTGGATAGTGAGTCCCTTCTCCAGGGGATCTTCCCAACTCAGGAATTGAACCCAGGTATCCTGTATTGCAGGCACATTCTTTACTGCATGAACCATCAGGGAAGCCCCCATTTGACCCATAATAAATGCTCAGTAAAGCTTAATTTTCATCATCATCTTTAGCATCATCATTGTCAGAAACATCCTGATAATAGGTATTTAAGAAAAGGTATTCAAAAAATTAAGTTCATACTTGGTTAGAAATGAATTAGTTACTGCATAATCACACCATTTTAAAGGTGAAAGTGCAGAAATTCAGAAGAATTCATGAATTTCCCATAATCACAGAACTTGTTAGGACTTTGCTACATCATATCAGTGTGGGATCATATCACAATTCTTAGAATGCCAAGGGCTACGATTTTAAACAAAACCTTCATTTTGGGATTAGTGTGTGTGGCTCAGCTGGTTAAGAATCCACCTGCAAAGCCGGAGACCTAGGTTCAATCCCTGGGCTTGTAAGATCCTCTGGAGAAGGGAAATGTTACCCACTCCCATATTCTGTTCTGGAGCATTCCCTGGACAGAGGAGCCTGGAAGGCTACAGTCCATGGGATCGCAAAAAGTCAGATGCAACTGAGTGACTTTCACTTTCACTTTCATGTTATGACTGGTGAATGCTTTTCCTCTAGTTATAGTGCATGGCCAGGTTAGGTGAATGGGTTAAGTTTAGAAAGGGGGCTTTTCAAGGAAAGTTGTTTGTTTGTTTGCTTTTCTTTTTTTAAATTAAAAGGTACCTAATCATTGGAAAATATTTGTAAAATACAAGAGTATATATAAAGAAGAACATAAAGGTAATCTAATCTATAATCTTCCTTTCCATAACTACTCTAAACTGGCAGGTATTTCTTTTCTCTCAGTTCAGGTATGTATTTATTATTATTATTTTTATAAAATTGCTGTGAATTTCAAAGTTCATTTATTTAATAAAGAGAATAGTTGGGAAGAAAGTAGATACCTATCTTGTTAGCACTTATATCCGGGCCTTTTCATTGAGTGTCCAGTTTTTCAAGTGTGAGAAGCTGACTGCACTTTAGCATTCTTTAGGGCATAAGGCCAAACAGTTTGTCTTTTGATTCTTAATTTACTGCTTCACTGTTGTAATCTCCGGAGCCACAGAGGATGTTCATCTCTTTACATTGAAATGTACTCCCACCACACACACATTTTATTTTCTTTCACATGGATTTTAGAATTACCTTGTCAAGATCCACAATATTGGCCCATTAAGACTGTAATTTCTATCATATTGAGCCTATAAATCTTGAGAATTGTTATTTTTATATATTTATTTTTCTAAGATTTAGAAAAATCTGAATTTTATTTTCTATTAAAATATATTTGTTGGTGATTTTACAGAAGTTTCCTTTTTAAAAATATATTGACTGTAATCAAACTTTGTTAAAATTATTCCTAGAATGTTCATTAAATTTTGCCATTTTAGATTTTTTTTCCCCTTGTTATTGCCACCTAATTAGTTATTGTTGATGTGGAGAAGTTTCTGAAAAAAATAAAACAAAACACAACACATCATTTTCTCCAGTATTTCTGCTTCTTTATATTTTAGTGGTTTGTTTCTGTAATTAGAATTTCCAAAATAGTATTCAAAATTGTTTTTCTATAATAAATCATATCAATTGTTCTTATATTTCGAGTTCCAACAGTCAGCTGGCATAGACTATGTAGATTTTAGACAAAAAAATTAACCCTGGCATTACATAGTGTTTCTTTTCTCAAGAACTAGTATTTTATCATAGTTTATTTTGCATGCTTTCTTTTTATGTCTGATGTCACATATACATGTATTTAGTGACCAGTCTCTTCTTTTTAAAACTCTATTGTTCTTAGAATATGCTCACTTTCATTGTGATGGTTGATGAGAAATGAGGGATAGAAAGGAGGATTGAGAGAGTTCTCCTCGATTGAGAACTCTAAGACTTAACACATTTTCTTATTTTTGAAAGAGAAGCACATCTTTCTAAACTAATTGCACAAAGCATTATATAACAAGGAATTATGTTTTCTGGTGGTCAGATTCTCTGATTCTTGAGACATAGCCAAATGTGGAAGCCTAATTGCTATAACCACAAAACCCACAGAAATAGATTTTGGGCTGATGGTGAAGGCTTTGGTGTGTGAAGTCAGCACCAAGCATTTATCACTGAATTTTTCACAAAGTGCTTCGGAAGCCAAAAATACTGGTAGTTGTGATTCAGGAACAATATATGTATAATTAGTTATGTGAGGAAGTAGTCTAAAACATCTTTTAAACTTTTGCTTTTTCCCTGAGTGTTCATCTGTGCATAATTTTACAGAAAGTAGGCTATTAAAATGAAGCATTTAAAAATAAATGAACATAATTTGTATTAATCTTTCATTTGCCTTTTTAGCCATACCTACATTTATCTATTTGATCTAACACTCTTTAATGCATATTATTTCTCAGTCACTGCCAACAGTGGTAACAGATTATATAGTAGCTTAGGCAAAAATACAATGAGGACATTTTCATTTTATTTGCTGGTGGTGGGTATGTGTGGGAGTGTTCTAATCTTCATAAATAAAGTTCTGGACATGAGAATCCTATTACTTTTATTCTCTGTTCCCCTACTTTGTTCTCTCCAAAGCAAGCACAATCTTTCTGTTTTATACCTACAAGTATTTTTAAGGCATGCATTTATAAAAGCATACTTCTATGTTTTAATAAGAGTAAAACATTAAATTTTATAAAAGGAATTGTCTCTACAGCTTAAAGAAAATGCTATTCTTAACTTATGTCTCTACAAGTCAGTTTTTAAAAGATAGGCATACTTAGATTTAAGCAATATTTTGTAATTTATGAAATATCTTTGTTGGATTTAGAGCTAAGAAACACTTTAAAGATCATCTAGCCCAAATTTACCTGTGCTCCCAGAGCAGAAAGACAACCAAAACTGAGATGTCCTGCTGGGTATAGGCCTTTGAACCATCTCATTCGCATTTACTCTGTCTTTTGCCATCTTCTGATGCAGTCCCACTACAAACCCATAAGGTGATATATTTGTGTGCGTTGATAGAGTCTGGCACATTATGTCTGAAGGTTAGTAATTTCTAATGATGATCCCCATCATCTAAAAGTATGCATGCTTGTCTCTTCAATGTTTGAGGAAGAGCTCTTTTTGTTAATATTAAGATGTGCTACTTGCTTTTGGCAATTGCTATAGAGATGGACAGAGAGGCCTGGCATGCTGCGATTCACGGGGTCGCAAAGAGTCGTACAAGACTGAGTGACTGAACTGCACTGAACTGAACTGATAGAGATTTTAAGAGTGGAGACATTGACACATTAAGTATATACATCGATTTGATGATGTATTTTATTTTCTGAAAAGTTTAAATGTGGGGGGAGAAACAATGTATTGTAGTTTTTTGTGATTTAAGGATTCCCTCTACCTAATCAGATCATGACATACACTGTACTATTTTAAATCTTATTTAGATGCATATTTTGCTGTTAATCTCATTTTAAGAAATTGTATTATATGACCTAACATGTGTAAAATGTTAGTTCAAAGAAGACATTTACAAAAAAGAATTCCGGTTGTTCTCTTTTACTATTATCATTACTACTATAGTTATTACTTTTCACAATAAGTGCTAAGCTTTTAATAATATTTCCTCCTTTTTCACCTGGAAAAAGGAACTAGAAAATAATGTAGGTTCTCCTTTTACAAGAAATTTAACTTTGAGATAGATTCTGCACTTTTTTGTAGAAAACTGAATGGCTTGAAATCTCAAAGAGCTGTGTTTGGGATGCTCAGTTAAAGCATTGGAAATTCTGTGCTCTTCTAGAGACATGAGGAAATTAATTTCCTACCAGAGCTCTGAATGCCCTGCTATAGAAATTGGTTTCTATTATTTGGTAAGTGTAATAAAATGTGCCACTGGGGGCAAAAGTAATCTTTGGTTAAGTTCAGTGTGCTGGTTCTTCAATTCAGATTTTTCCTCAGCCTCTCACCAGCTATGAGACCTTAGAGGAAGAATATCTTTCTCTCTCTCTTCTGCTACTTTTTAAACATCCAGAGCGAAGGGGAGCATGTTTGTCTCTGAGAATTGTTACAGAGGTAGAACTATGCTGATTGCATTGGAGATGATTGCTAGTGTTTCATAGAAGTTTTCAAGCTTTCTGAAATAAACTGTGTATTTGCATCTTTCAGACAGATACCATTTATATTAATTTTCCTCCTATTATTATCTAGTGTGAAGTCATTTTGGTTTAAAGTTTATGGTATGTTTTTATTCATTATAAAGATAGAGAAAAAAGAAGAAACTTGACGTATTGTGATTGTTCTTATCTTTCTGTCTAAAACACATGAATTAGGTGCCTCACAATTATTTTCTGAGGTCTATGATTAAAATGGTCTACATTTCAATCTTTTCACATCAGTAAGCATTTATTTATACAGTATTTTT